ATGGACAAAAAACCATATCCAAGCAAAGGGAAGGCAAAGCTGTGGCCACACATCCCCACAGGGATGGTGACTTCTCCCTCCACCATAAGAGCTGAGGATCCTCAGGCCCTTCCCAGCCTTGGGGCCAGAGGCACCACAGGGATTGGCACTGGCTGTGCTCAGGGGGGGACAGGACCTGCAACTCCCTTTCCTCTCCCTCTGACCGCACAGCAGAGCAGCTCAAGTCAACCAAACTTGATGATGATGCAGCTTGAGGAACAAAATCCAACAGAGACAGCCTAAGAGGGACTCACCGAGACCTGACCACACTGAGCTGCTCTGACCCTGCTGTGTTTGCATTTCTGGTGTTGCTCTCCCTCCCCTGCAGGGTCTGCACTTGCCTCTGCCAGCTCATCCCAGCCCACAGCAACACTGGAGTCTCCTTTCCAGGCTGATGTGGCACTTCCCTCTCTGCAAATGGCAACCAGGAGGTTTGGGCTGGGCTGGGGCTCCTGGCAGAGTCCTGCACAGGGGGAATTCCAGTCCTCTGGACATCTGGGAAGCAAATGGAAGTTACTGAGCAAGAGGGAAAAGTTACTAACAAATCAGGAGGCTTGAAAAGACCAAGTCTGAGGAAACTCTTCAAGGAACTGCCATTGTGACAGAACTGAACATGCCAAGAAAACCTGACAATCTGTGTTTTCATTCTGTACCACAGAGCTAAAGCCAAACACCTTCAGAGGAGTCTGGGGGTGTCTCCAAGCACCAGCAGGACAGTTTTGCTCTGAGCTAGGCATTGTCTCCTCGTCAAGTGAAGCTGCACAGTATTGCAAAGAGTGGAGATGCTCAGGTGCCACTTGGGAAGCAGCTCCAGAACAGGCGTGACTAGCAGCTGGGCCTGGGCCTGGGCAGAGCCTTCCTGGAGTGCCAGACACAACAGGAACTGGAAAACAGTGGAGAAAAGGACAAGGAAGAGCAGCAGAGCTTCCCTTTCCACGGGAATGCCAAGGGAAACCAAAGGGATTCTGAACCAAAAAGCGACAAAGCAGTAACTGATGTAACACCTCACATTCCACAGCCAGGAAAAACTCCTGGAGAAGATAACTGGCTGAACAAAGTCCTGAGGGCTGAGACACACCATCCTGCCCAGGCTCTTGGGTGAAGGACCTGCAGAGCACGTGGGCAGTGCAGGGGACACTGGCAAAGCTGTGGGAGCACAGAGCAGCTCCAGCTGCAGCGCTCAGCGCTCCCTGCGAACGAGGTCTGTGTGAGCACACTGAGCTCTGGGACAGAGCAACAGGTCTTTGGAAGAGAGAAGCCTGACACTGCTCTCACCATCTGTATCCCCAGACTGAGGCTGCCCTGACCACAAGGAGACAGATGACAAAGCTTTGTCTCTCCTTTTCTTCCTAAACACAGATAAACTTCTCATTTTGTCACTGCGTTTGTCAGATCAAGTAGGTGTAAAGAGGCAAAGGTGCTGCCCAAGCTGCAGTTAAGAAAAGCCTGGGGAGCCACTGGCATGAAACCTGCCCTGTCCTAACTCCTGCCACATCCTAACTCTCTCTGACATCTCCAGCCCTGCAGATGTGAGAGCAACTGTGAGAGCAGCATGGCCACAAATGTGTTTCCACCAGGAACTACACCCACTGCTCCAGCAGCTACACCAGGTGAGCTCCTGGGAGGGTCCTGCCCTACCCCAGAGGACCCCAAATCATTCCCATCACAGCTGTTCCTGCAGCACAATAAAGACCTTCTGGAATTCTGTACCTGCCTGAGTGCACTGCATGCCACAGGCAATGTGAGACACCTCTGCTGTGGGACAGCCCTTGGGCCCTACCAAGGTCCTGTAAGCACTGACTGAGACAAAGTATCACCCGACAAACACCTGAGTTCCATCAAAGCAAGGGATGAAAGAGCAGAACAGAGCCACAGCTTTCCTAAATTCCTTGGGAATTTAGAGGCCAAACCAGCCTGTTCCAGGGAGAGCTTCCAAGCAGGGTCTCCTGCTGAGGAAACCAGTTGCTCCTACCTTTAGGGCAGAAAAACTGCTGGGAGATGTCATCAGAATTGAGTTTCCACCTCCAGGAGTTCCCTCTTGGCCTTCACCAGCAGGATGCACAGGCTGCTGTTCGGAACCAAAAGCATCAAGAAATCACCATTTTTTTCTTGCCTTCAGCTATTTGTGCCAAGATTTCCTGACTGTTAGAATGGTGCAGACCATGCACTACCTCTGGGATCAGCTCTGGATACCTGAGCAGTGCTTTGCTCATACCAGCTGCCTGGAGATCATTGTCAAAGCAGCTAGCAAAGCAAGCTGAGTTCCTTTCCTGAAAGAGATTGTTGCAGGAGAGGTACAAAACCATATCCTGCACTGCCTTCTTCCTCAGCAAAGAATGAGGGATGGATAAACAGGGAAGCAGTGGGAAAAGCAAGGAACAGTGATGCCAAAAGGCATCCAAGAGGGGTATTTAAGAAGTGGCAGCTGGAGAGCTCACAGCAGTTGCTGCTGCCAGAGCTGCACTGCCAGAGTGCCTGGCACCAGGACTGTGCTCAAGGATCACTCCCTGGGTGTCTGCACCCTCAGCCAAATGCTGTGACAACAACTCCCACTGGGTCTGAACATGTATCTCAAGTGGAATTAGGCTGGAGAGACCAGCAGGGCTCGGGGGTGAGTGCAGAGCACTCCTGTGGAGCAGCAGAGTGCAGTGCATGGAGAGAACTCTGCACTGCACAGCCTGAACTCAGGACAACCCCTGGATGGCTCCCACTCTGTCCTTGTACGCAGAGAAGAAATACTCATTGCTGTGGCAAAAGGATGAGGATGAACTGGTGGAAACCTCTGGAGCAGACAACCCCAAGCACTGTGAGGGGTGGGAGTGGGCTGGTTGCTGGGTCACAGTCACTGTTTCACAGCCCATGGAGCTTCCCAAGAGATGGAGAGTGACCAGCCTGGACTGATGTCTGAGCAGCAAAAGCCCCACCAGCACTCACAGCACAAAGCTCCACTGCAGTGGGAGGCTGCTCCCCGGGCCAAGGCTGGCTCTGGGGTTTGGGGGAGCCTCAGGCAGCTCCAGGCACAGCAGCAGTGCCCAGCCAGGTCACCCCCAGGCTGGGCAGCACCTCAGCCCTTCAGCAGCCACGTGCAGGGGCTGAGGCTCCCTCAGGCTGTGCCCATCCCACTGCCAGGAGAGGAGAAACCACGGCAAGTACGAGGCAGGGCCAGCTGGGGATGGAGTGAGAGGAGCAGGAGGCATGGAACAGCCTCTGGAATTTGGGAATAAACTCTGGGGCTGGTAGGGGTTCAGGCCACAAAAGGAGACGCTGCACGAAGCTGCCACAGTCCCTGTGTTTGCTCTACCTCCACCAGAGCTGGTGGTGGCCCAGGCTGAGTGTCTAGGTGTGCACAGCCCTGGGCAGGCTCAGCCCTCACAAGTTCCCTACCCAAGAACACCTGAGGGTCACAGCAGTCTGTGGCACATCCTTTCTAGGGGACAGATTTCTTGCAGTGCTCATTTCACAACCCTTTGGCTCCTACAACTCAAAGCAGCAAGCTAAGAACCTCTCCGAGAGGAGCTACAGCTGTTGGTAACAACCTTCAACACTGGACACTGTGTGCAACCCTGAGCAAAAAAAGAACAGAAAATAAAAAACAAAACAAAATTTGAGCAAAACAAAATCAAATTTAATGTTCTTAAATGCAAAAGTAAAAACAAACAAAAAACACAAAAAAGCAAAAGAAAATTAACAGAAACAGAACAACTCAAAGTTTCAAGGCAGTCTGCAGAAACCCTGGGGGTTAACCTTTACATCTACAAATCAAAGGGGTGGTTTTTTTTTTTCTTCAGTTAATATCTAACTTGCAAGTAGTAAGTACTTTTCTGCTGAGTGTTCAGTAAGTAAAGCTAGTTGTCAAAACAAAATCCTACTCAAATAGAAAACTCTAGCACTCATCATTAGAAGGGATGCGAGAAATACAATGCTCAAATGTTTATCAGCTGGTTTTTGGTTACACAATAGAACTGCCAGAGGAATTCCAACTGCAATGATCTCAGAAAAGGAGTAGTAAGTATCTTGCTGCATTATAAGGTACCAGTAAGTAGTGCACCATGCATTAAATATTCGGACAGAAGAGATTCAGTCTGATAAAGCAGCGACACATATCCACACTTGGTTGGTTTGGGGGTTTTTTTTTGGTTTTTTTTTTTTTTGGAGTTTCATTTGGAGTCTGAAATCTTCCCGGAGTTTCTTGGAAACTCTTTGGTCCTTTCCTCTCAAACTGGGCTCTAAAAGGCTAAAATCCTGTGAGTGGGACAGCTCTGGCACTGCTCGGCGTGTGACTTACCTCCTCAGTGCTGCCTGAGCTAGGCTGGCATGCTGCTGCCTGCGAGTGCTCGGCCTCACAAAGCCTCAGCTGCACCCCCCAAAACGAGGATTAACTCAGCAAACTGGCAATTAAAACGTTAGTATTCCTCAGCTCTTCCTCCACACTACTCAATCTGGGGAAGGGGGAAATAAAAGGACGAGGGGGATGGGGAGGAAAACCAACAACATAAAACCCAAGGAAATGAATGAATTCAGCCTGATATTGTTCAGAAAATTCCAGTTTTTGCAGACAACATTCAGTGAAACAAATGTTAGTCTCATCAGTGAAAGCATGCTTCAAATTTCCCACCGTCCAGAGGCTCGAGGCGACCTAAGATTTCAGGGGCTTTTGAACGTGGTTGAAATGAAATAACTTAAAGAGGAACTTAAAATTGGTCTAACATTGTGGGATCTCAAACATTTGAACATGTCAGTTGCATCCCAGAATATAAAACCTTTTGCACTTCTCATTTCGACTAAAGACAAAAACACTTGTGAAAATTGGCGCGAAAATGAGGTTTACACTAACCAAAAAAAAAAAAAAAAAAAAAGGAAAAAAAAGAAAACGAAAAACAAACAAAACGGAAAAAGAGGTTTCAACTTCTGTCACTCCATTAACTAATTCCATACAAAATAAAAAAGAAAGCACGAGCAAGTTATTTGTGGGACTTGTTGGTTTTGAAGGAAACCTGTAAGATTTTGTCCCCCAGGCGGTAGCCATTAAGACTTGCTATGGCCATTGCAGCTTCTTCATAGTTTGTCATGGTCACAAAACCAAACCCTTTGCACTTGTTGGTGTTGAAATCTCGAATAACTTTCACATTGGTAACCGCACCAAAGGGGCCAAACATCTGCCAGAGGATTCCCTCATCAGCATCTTGCCCAAGGTTGTAGATGAAGATACACCAGCCAGAAGAAGCGTTTCCTGGAACATTTACACCAGAAAGCCCACTCATGTGATCTACACCCATAGGAGAGAACCTAGCAAATAAAAAGCACAATAGTTCATGTAAAAGTGCAATTCAAGGAAGCAAATTCACTCGTATGGGAAGCGACTGACAATGAATAGTGGCTACACGGATATCGAAAGTGCCGAAAAAAAAATAGGGGCTCCCCATTGCAATGGATAATTCAATTGACAGCTGCTCAGGGGGGAATGGCAAGTATTCCAACTGCTTTAGCAAAGGGGAATTCGTCTCAGGAACGGGCAAGGCCAAGTGAGCACGTTCCTGGACAGAGCTCTGGACTCGGCCAGGCTGCTCAGGGTGTCCCTGGGGCACAGTGGGGCACAGGAACCCCCAGGACCTCCCACTCAGCTTCTCAAGGAGGTGATTTTCCCCCTCCTCCTTCTCTTGCCTCTAAAACAGCACCTTGGGAGCTCGTAAGGCAAAGGGTTTCTTGGGGCTTGCTGGACAGGGAGGGATGTGCTCGGGGTTTGGTATACAGTCATTTTTCTGTATGCATCACGGCCTGTCTGGTGGGACACCCCAAAACCTCCTCCCATCCCACCCCAAGGCAGCAGGTGCAGGCAAACACTCCCAGCACCAGCAGGCTCAGGCACAGCTTTACAGTCTCAGTGTACATGGATGGCTTTACTCGTTTTACACCAACGTCATAGCAGGAGAACTTTGATCTGACCTTCCTGAGCTGGATTTAAGTCACCTACCCACTCCTCCTGAGCCCTGCACAGCACCCCAGCAGGATTTCTGCATAACAAAAAGCAAAAACCTCTCCTTTTTACATCTTGCTTCATATTAACTCCTTTCCCCTATGACCCACATCTCTAATTCTCCTTCATTCTACCTCTGGCCTCCACCCTGGAAAAGTCAAGTCATGAGGGTTGCACAGCTAAGCACTCAGAGGTCAGGAAATGTGGAAGTTAAGGCCAAAAACTCACTTGGAACCCTTTGCGCTTATTTATTATTTTAAAACGTGAGGTCATGTGATTGTAGAAATATAATGATACTATACCAGGGGTTCCCAAACTGAGGTGTACCACTGGTGATATGCAAACCCCTGAAAAGCTGTACACGTGCTGCTCTCTGCCAAGAGCATGGAGGTGGCACATCCTGATCCTCTGCTGACCTGGAGGAAACAGGGAAGGGATGTCTGGGCAGGGAAGGCTGCAGGAAGTGCCAAACACTTCCCCACTGACTCTTTCTTGCCCTGCATCAAAGAGCTGCTGCTGCCTTTATGGGGGAGGGAGGGCTCAGGGCAGTGTGTGTGGGGAGGGAGGGGAGCAGAGGGGCAGCAACACACACACACACACACACAGAGAGGGAACCAGCTCATGCTCAGGATGTGCACTCACACACGAGCACCACTCAGTCCCCACGTCCCCCACAGAGGTGTCAGAGCTCTTTGCCTTGGACACCTGAGCTCCTCCTGGCCCCAGAGCAGGGTGCCCTCCTTCCCTCCCTCACTGCTGCTGCAGCCTGGGGCGCAGGGCGACACACCTGCACGGACTCACTGCTGCTGCCACTCGTGGCCAGCCCCAAGCAAATCCACGTTTGGGAATCCTGGTACTACAGCCACACTGAAAAGGCAGTTAGAGGCATCAGATGTCAGGGAGATGCACTAGCCATGTGATCTGCTCATCAGGTGACAGAGCTGATGGTTAGTTTGGCTCTGGGTACAATTGTCCCTGTGTGTGCATGCTTGGTACACTTACTGGCTCTGACACACACCTGTGCCTCCTGTCCATGGGAGCAATGACATGGTAGGATGGATTTAGCTTAGTATCTGGTGAGTTTTTGTCTCAGCAGATCACCAGCCCTGGGGCCCTGCACCCCACGGAGCTCAGAGTCACCTGGTGTTGGTTCCAGCAGTCAGTGCAGCTCTGCCCTGCCTGCCCACACACAGCAAGGACTGCAACCCCTGGGCAAGAGCAGCTGGGGCAAGACAACAAACCTAAATGCATTTCACAGGCAAAAGAATGGAAAATAGCAGGTACCTCTGCTCTTTGGTTGTGCTTGTCTTCAGATAGATTTTTCTCTCTTCATGCTTTGACTCACAAAAATGTTAGAGGTTTGTTTAAAAAAAACCCAAACAAAACCAAGGCAAAAACAAACAAACAAACAAAAAAGACTTGAAAAGTCTTTTCAAAACAACCCTAGGAAATGCAATTCAGCTGATGTGAGGGACCCCAAAGCTCTCCCTCAGCTCATGGGTAACAGCCTGCACAACCAGGCCTGGAGCAACTGAAACAACACCTCTGTCCCACCAGGAACAGCTTCCTGACACACAACACCTCTGTCCCACCAGAACAGCCTCCTGACACACAACACCTCTGTCCTACCAGAACAGTTCCTAACACACAACACCTCTGTCCCACCAGGAACGCCTCCTGACACACAACACCTCTGTCCTACCAGAACAGTTCCTAACACACAACACCTCTGTCCCACCAGGAACAACAGCTTCCTAACACACAACACCTCTGTCCCACCAGGAAGAGTTTTATGCCTACACCAATTTCACATGACCTTTAGGAGGTTACAGTAATTAAGAACGTTTCCAAGACTGTCTGATTTGGGTCCAAGATGTTTCAGAGAGGTGTTTTAAAAGTCTGTTAATGCTCTCAGCCTTATCACTCTCCCAGCTGGTGCCCTCTTCCTGCTCCACACTGGGTCAAAGAACTATCAAAAGCCATTCAGGACTGACCTCAGGGACTGCTATCAGGACAGTTATGCCCATTCCAAGGAACTGGGAACTGGCTCTGACCTTGAACAAGGCTGAAAGCAAAACCAGATGAACTGGGAATATCTGAGATCTGAAAGATTTCTGTGGCATAAAGCTCTGGTGAGCTGCAAAGCACAGGCCTTCCAGGACTCTGGGGCCTCCTCACACCTCGGGAGCCAAACCCTCCGTTCACCAGAGCTCAGCACCTCCAGATCTGCTGTTCTGCTTCAGCAAACATATCCTGTGCTCTGAAGGCATCCCTGGCCCAGATGTTGTGTCTGTCCTCCAGACACAGCCCCGTGCTGCAGCATCCCTCCCTCTGGATGGAAGCAGGGAGCCCATGCCCTGGAATGAGCCAGCCCAGCACTCCAGAGAGACACAGCACTGAGGGCCACAGACACCACAGCAACTCCAAAGGATTACCAGGACATTAAACAAAGGTTTGGAGTGATATCTGTAGGAAATTAATAATTACAAATTAGATACTCAAGGCCTAATCCTGGATTTCTAGGGATTATGATGGAATGAGATGAAGTGCAATCAAAATGTCAGGTTAAGTACTCAACCTCTGTGGGGCAGAGACCACAACTTTAATTTATCCAGACTGGGAGCTCTGTAGAAGCAGCTTATCCTTTCATCATGGCTTGTTCACTACCAAAACAAACAAGACTCAGCCCAAGCTCAGGTTCCTGAGCTAAACCACAGCATAAGTAATTACAGCTCATTAAGTTCAGCATCCTTTAAGGAAGACTTTCAGAAGAACTTGCAGCCAACACCAAAGGTGAGAAGAAAACCATGAAGCACTGTGGGACAGACTTGGTGACCCTGGAGGTCTTTTCCAAGCTCAGTGACCTCACAGCTCCCTGGTGTGAGTGCTGTGCACACAGGTGTATGTGTCCCTGCACGGGTGACTGAGGGAAGGACGTTTACAAGTGTTTGAGTTCTGGCAAGTCTGGGACAAGACACAGATGGAGAGTTTGTGTCTTCGAGTCAACCAGCAGATCTTGTCTTCACAACACATCCCTGACAGCTTGGCTTCTACTTGCTCTACTCCTGCCTCTGCCACACTGGGGCCCCTCAAACCCATCCCCGGGAGCAGCAGTTGGCCCAGAAGTGCTGAGAGATGGGCACTGGGCACAGACACCGTGGGGGACACAGCTCCCACAGCAGCAGGAACAGAACATCATCCCCTCTGGGACACCCCAAACCTACAGAAACACAGGGTGTCCCTGCCCCATCCCTGGGAGTGCTCCAGGCCAGGCTGGATGGGGCTTGGAGCCACCTGGGCTGGTGGGATGGGATGGGCATTAAGGTCCTTCCAACCCAAACCATTCCAGGATCCCACAAAATGCACCTAAGTGACATCAATGCTGCTCTAATTGGTGCAATAAAAGGATGATGAACCAATTTGTTATTAACATTTCACCTGCAACTATTAACATAATGACATTAATCATTTGTATTGTTCCTAAGTGATCATTACATGACAGAATTGAAGTGATTTGGTCTCTTAATTATGGATGTGACTATTCTTTGCATTCCTTATCCTGCTGCATCTGAATCCTGGTATCAATCTGAAGGGGAAGAATGATGCTGAAAATGTCTAATTAAATTAAGAATGGAAAAAATGAGCCATAAACCTAAGGGTTTGACTAGGAGCAGGAAGCACTGAAGCCCTGACTGAGGCAGAGGACAAGATGTGTGAGCTTTTAGCAGTTCACTTACATGCAAACTGCAGAATTTCATTCCTTGCTGTTGCTCAGAGGGTTTGGTGTGGAGATCTGATGAGGGAAACCAGGAGCTGCCTGCACTAAACCTTCCCTCAGGTGAGGCTGGCAGGGACCTCTGGAAAGGCTCTAGGAAATCCCAGGAGTGCACCTGGAGCTCAGGCCCATCCCAGCCAACTCTCAGGATCTCCAAGGATGGACAGACACTTCATGGCCTCTTTGGGCAAACTGTTCAACCACCACAGTGACTGTAAAACGCTGATTCTCTCTGGGGTCACATGGCACTGAGCTGTGCTCAAACTGCAGAACTGCATGAGCAAAGAGCTCCTGGGATTTTAGTCCAGTTTTACTGAGCTCATTGGATACCTCAGAGGATTAAAATACTAGTAACAGAAGAGTAAATTTTCAGCAGAGAAACACAACTCTCCCAGAGCTCACTATTTACCTGCCAGACAGTCAACAGATCCCATTTTCCAGAGCTCCCTCCAACCATCAGCACCTAAGGCAATGCCCATGCACAGTCAAAGCAGCTAAGGCAATTCCCAAAGGTAAAACAGTGTCTCCCACTGCCCTGAAAGCAGACAAGGAGGCTGCAACCACTTCATGTTCTCCCTGGACTCATGAGGCCTCGAGGGAAGCCTTGAGGCTGGCAGAGCCCTGCACAGGTTGGGCTGCAGGCAGGAACCCCACAGAACCCACCAGAAATAAGGATTTCCTGACTTATACTGACACTTCCCTGCTGGAACCAACAGTTCAGAGCCTTAGGTTGCCAAATTACGTCTGTGTTCAGATGGGCAGAGGACAGGATGAGGATCTGCTGAGACAGACACCTACCAACACCCACCTGGGACCTGCTGCTCCTTCCAACATCACTGTAACCTCCTCATGGAACAGCCCCAGAGCACAGGTACCTTCACACACTGCCCTCACAGCCACACAGTGTGCTAAGGGGCTGGGATGGAGCTGAGAGATCCTCCAGCCCCAACCCCTGCCCTGGGCAGGGACACCTCCCACCAGAGCAGGTTGCTCAACGCTCTACCAACCTGGAATGAACACTGCCAGGGTTGGGTCAGCCACAGCCTCCCTGGGCAACCTGTGCCAGGGTCTCACCACCCTCACAGGGAAAACTTCTGCCTAAGATCTAATCCCAGTTTCCCTCTTTCAATGTCTCCCCATTGCTCCTTGTCCTGTCCCTGCAGCTCCTAGCACAGATCCCTCTGCAGCTTCCCTGGAGCCCCTTCAGCTCCTGCAGGTGCTCTGAGGTCTCCACACAACCTTCTCCTCTCCAGGCTGAAGAGCCTCCCTGGGCAACCCCTGCCAGACTTATCACCCTCACAGGGAAGAATTTCTCCCTAACATCTAACCTAAATTTCCTCTTTTCCAAATCATTCCCATCACTCCTTGTCCTATCCCTCCAGTTCCTACCACGGAATCCCTTCTCCAGCTTCCCTGTAGGCCCAAGATAAACGTTACAACTCTCTTTTGGAGGTCAGTGTCACCACTTCTAGGTTCAATATAAATGTTACAAGTAAAGCTTTTCCTTGAATCATCTTTAATGCATCACTTTATTTACACAGAACACTGCAGGACACAGAGTGCACTAGGGATCCATCCACACACGCTGCGAGGCAGGAAGCAGTGCCCAGCTTCCCACGGGGACACGAGCACAGCCCAAACGCATTTATCTTCCCAAGTGAGGCTTCCTAACCTACCTGAATCTCTGTGCCTGGTGGTGCACGGGCCCTCCGAACCTCCTGGCTGGGGAATGGCAGAGCTGGGACAGCAGTGCCACGTTCTTGTTCTGGTTGGGGTTGGCTGCGAACTTCACCGTGATGGGCTCGGAGGAGCCCGGGGGCTTGTGCCCGTTGAAGTTTGTGATGGCCTCCTCGGCCTCTGACCTCTTGTCGAAGCGGATGAACGCGACCCCTCGGGACAGACCTTGGCAGAGAGAGCACAGAGACAGCAGAGCTCAGCCTCAGGGTCACTGACAGCAGAAAAAGTGACCGACTCAGTATTCTGTGGCCACAGCTGTCGAGTTCTGTGGTTACTGATGTTTGCTCAGCACCTCAGAGGGAAAGGGCAGAGGCAAGGAACTAGAGACTATGAACACTACAATTAAATCAGTAATAAAGACATAATATTATATAAATACTAATATGTAAATTATAAAACATACACGGATGTCTATATGTAAACGAAAGACTAATTAACACTTTCACTTCAGGAGAAAATTAAAGGGAATATTAAGAAACCAAAGACAAATTAAGACATTCATTTCAGGATAAACTGAAGTAGAATATTAAGGAACCAAAGACAAATGAACATCTTTCCATTCCAGATCTAACAGCCACAGGGACTGAACCACTTCAATTCCAATGTGGTAGAGTTCTATGAAATCCATCCCCAACTGATTTTCCATTCACAAAAAACAATTCCCAACAGTTTAAATTATCAGAAAAGGTATTTATTCCAGTTGGTTAAACCCAACTCCTTTAGCTTCCATTACTTTATGACTGAAAAGCATCTGCATGCACAAAACTAACACATTTTTGCACATTTTGATGGAAACACTTGAGGGAAAAAAGGTCTGAGGGGAATAAAGGAGGTTCACTCTCTGTTGTGGAGAGATCACAGTTCCCCCACACCACATTTCTCCCTTTCAACTAGCACATACATTGCTTGAACTCCTCCAGTGGTTTAAAACCTGCGAGAATTGTGTGGGTGAGTTCCAAGCTGGTGGAAAAAGCAAAACACATTTTTGTTTTCACAGTGTCATAGGATGTTCAGGGTTTGGGATGGAGCTGAGAGATCCTCCAGCCCCAACCCCTGCCCTGGGCAGGGACACCTCCCACCAGAGCAGGTTGCTCAAGGCTCATCCAGCCTGGCTGTGAACACTGCCAGGGCTGGGGCAGCCACAGCCTCCCTGGGCAACCTGTGCCAGTCTCACCACCCTCACAGGGAAAACTTCTGCCTAACATCTAATCTCAATTTCCCTCTTTCAATGTCTCCCCATTGCTCCTTGTCCTGTCCCTGCAGTTCCTAACACAGATCCCTCTGCAGCTTCCCTGGAGCCCCTTCAGCTCCTGCAGGTGCTCTGAGGTCTCCACACATCCTCCTCCTCTCCAGGCAGTATGATCTAAGGTTGGGCAAAGAGGCAGCAAGAATCACTCTGTACTTCATCACCGGCCAAGGGTGTCCCATTAAGTTCTACCAGATGTCCTGGTTAGTTTGTGAAGCCTAATTTAACCAAGCTGAGGAACTGCCAGGCCCAGCAGAACACCAACCACACTGTCCCCTTGCAGCTGGGGCAGCAGAGCTCACCTGTGGTTTGATCCACGAGCACACGAGAGTTGATGATGCGCCCAAAGCGCGAGAACATGTCTTCTACATCCTTCTGTGTCATGGAGCGAGGGAGGCCACTGATGTACAAATTAGCATCTTTGATCACCTCAGAGCTGGGCCGAGCGTAGGAAACCTTGGAAACCAAAAGGAGTGTTCAGGGGGTTACCAGGAAACAGCAGTTCACTCCCCACTAACACTGTCAGCAGTTTTGTTGGAGGTCAAAAAGCGGAACTGGGAGAGGGAAGGGTCAAAGGAACAAGCTCATGTCCCTACAGAACTCCACTCATGTGGGGCTTAGCCAACTGATCAATATTGGCATTGCACTAAGGGACAGCAGCAGAGCAACTCCAACACTCCCAGCAGACACACTGGCCTTGCTGAAGAGTCTGTCTGGAGCTCTAAGGACCATGGAGCTGAGTACCCCCAGCTCACACCAGTGTTTCTCCTGAAGCAGAAAAGCAGGTGTGAATCGACACACCCAGCACAGGCTGCTGTTTGCACAAGGAGCTCCTGTGTATGAGCCAGATTTAACACACAGCAGGAAGTATTCCAGAGGGACATGAGTTCCAAGGCTTGGCAACAGCTTGGAATTGTCTCTCTGCTGCTGGTGGGAATGAAGACAAGGGAATCTCTGAACACAAAGCTGTTTCAGAGCCCTTCCCCACCTTGTCCCAGATCCCCCTCCCTGCAGCTGGGAGCACTCAGGCCTTACCACCAGAGTGAAGGTTATTCCAATGCCATTTCCAGAGAAGACCACAAACCTCCTACCTTGATAGTTTTTGACTGAAGTCTGAGGCCATTCAGTGTGTTTATTGCTCTTTCAGCATCTTTTGCAGTGACATAGTTCACGAAGCCATAGCCTAAGCTGTGTCCTACAGGGAAGAACATTGGTTAAATTAATCCCAAAAAACCAACATTATCACCACCAAAATGAAGGAAATGTCCATGAGAAGTGAACTCAACAGACATAACCCACAGAGCAGAGATTTCAGTAAGCCGAGGAGGTTTCCCAAGTTCATCAGTACAAACTCTTGGAGATAGAGAGCAGAAAGTAAGAAAGTGTCAGGGATGAGCCACCAGGTGGGAAATCCTGAGGCTGCTCATCCCTGCTTGGCTATTCCAACCTCCTCCTGGGGACAAGGGGGAAAAAGAGGTTTCTAATCCTATTAATTCTAATTAATAAGCAAATCTCCCAAACAGCAACACAGCAAAAAAAGTTCCCTTCACTGTAGACAATTCATGTTCTCTTCTACTGCTTTACCTAAGTTTACCCTTAACTCCTCCAGAAGTAAGTTGCTAATACAAACAGTAATAACAACACAAATTTGGTAATAATAGTACAAACAATAATAATAATGATGATATAAATCTTTAAAACATTTAATGCAAGGGATATTTATTTGGACACTTATTTGTTCTACTTCCATTTCCAACCTCCACAACTGCTGCTACCACTTACAGCAATTCCAACACTTCATCCTGACATCACTTGAGGTTGGAATTGCCCAGTAATTAGAGGCTGTTCTCACTGTAGACCTAAAAATAACTCCAATCATTTCAAGACTGTCTCAGTGTGATAAAGCAACCCCAATTCAACACAAGACACACTTTTTCCAGCCAACTTCTTGTCTCTGCAGATCCATGCGATCTTCTGAAGAAAACTGGGACCATGCAGTGGAGAACGTGCCATTTCACTTGAACAATATACTATTTTGAAGTTGTTAAGCTCCACTGTGAAGCTTGAGGACACCAGAAGACAAAGCTAATTGTTATGGCAGAGGATTCTGTTGGGAAATGGCCCTTTTTTAATCATACAGCAATGGTCTTAGCTGGCAGGGAATGTTCCCTATGCTTTCCAGAACACCACATACACACACACAGAGGTGTCAAATGGTGATATCCTGGCAGGAATGTCAGAGGAACTGAAGCAAAGGACTCAAGAGACACAGCACACCAACTCCAGCTACTGGAAAATGAATCCCCAGGCTGCTGAGGCATCAAGACTACAAGTCTAAAAGCCACAAGGGATGGAAGGAGGGCCCAGAAAACCCTCAAGAGTGTTCCTGCTAACAGCACTGTGACAGCAGAACTGCACCTGGCACAGCCTCTGCCTTTGGCTGCTTCCTCGTGAAACCTAATCCAGCAGTAACTCATGGTGTCACTGCCTGTTGTCTAACGTATAAACACTCCCAGGTAATTGCTGCTGACTGCCAAAGCTCTTGGAGAAGGCAGAGCTGCTCTGTGCTCAGCCCTGGCACAGGAACAATGTCCTGTTCCCTCACAGACCTGGTGTCAGACACCTCACCAGCTCCTGTCAGCCTCCCCTGACGCCGCACACAAAGACTGGCAGGGCACTGACAGCCAAGGATTAACTCCACAGAGGAAACACAAAACACAATAAAAGATCTGAAGCACCACCTTGTGTACCTTTGTCCTGTAGAGACCTACAGATAACCCTGACAGAGCCTCAGTACCTTCCATGTACCCCGGGTGGATGTGGTTGATTTTTCATAACATTCACTTTCTGTGTTATTAGCCAGAGAAGGTCAATCATTTAGACCCAACCTGGTTAGCTCACCATCACTTCCCTTACTCAGAGTCTTTATCCTCACTAGGAAAACGAATCATTTAGAATTAGCAAAATGTTTAGCAGGTGGGAAATTACTGGCACAAGATCCCCCCTCCCATTGTGACCCATCAGGCCCAGGGCCAGGGCTGTCACTGCCCTGGGGAGGGGGTGAGTGTCCTCCTGCCAGGGGAGAGCAGGATTCCCTGCTGTACAAACTGACACTGCGTGCAGTGTGCTGAGTCACAGCCACCAGGGCTCAGGGAGTTCCCAGAGAACACAGCAGGCAGAGAAACCCAGAATCCCGGGATGGTTTGGGTTGGAAGGGACCTTCAAAATCATCCAGTTCCACCCTCTGCCATGGGCAGGGACACCTCCCACCAGCCCAGGCTGCTCCAAGCCCCATCCAACCTGGCCTGGAACACTCCCAGGGATGGAGCAGCCACAGCCTCCCTGGGCAACCCATGCCAGTGTCTCACCACCCAATCTTCTTGGCTTTCTTTACTGGTTTTGTCTGAGCAAAATGCTGCACCATTTTTTACTTCTAATGTTATACACTTGGATCAATGGTTGGTCCTTATCCAAGGGTTTGAATGCTCTGAGGAAAGAGGGAGCAGGGATGGAATGGGGACCACACAAACACACAGAGGTTAAAAGCAGAAGGCTCTGAAAGTGGCAGGATCACAACAGTTAGACCTTCTCATATCCCCACCAGGCACTGGACACTAAGCTCATACTAATCCTCAGAAACTAGTCCAGTTACCTTTTACCTGCCACTAGGTAAGAAAATACCAGTTGCCTGTGTTTCTCTACAATAACCTACAACACAGACCTTCCCTCAGGCTGTACCTACCACCTTAACCTTCAGTATTGTAACAGGACTTTATAACCCCTCAGTGTGAGAAAAACCCAATTCGTGCAGAACTGACAACATATTTTATGTCAACGTACATTAATTTATCTCTAAATTCCTGCCCCTCAGTGAGTGCTCATCTCCACACAGCCTGGAAGACACAACACCCATCCCCACAGGAGGCACATCCCACCATCCCCTCACAGATCCCACTGCAGAGATGCTCTTGGCTTCCCAATTTTACTCCAGGTTGCCCAGGGAGGCTGTGGCTGCCCCAGCCCTGGCAATGTTCATTCCAGGTTGGCTGAAGCCTTGAGCAACTGCTCTGGTGGGAGGTGTCCCTGCCCAGGGCAGGGGTTGGGGCTGGAGGATCTCTAAGCTCCAACCCCTGAACATTCTATGATTCTGTGTTCTCAGCCTGCTCTGGAAATCTGTCCTGCAGAGGAATTCAGTGCTGTACACTTTCAAACCATTTTAGTAGATAATCCTACGAAAAATCCTTCAAACAAGTTTGTACATCCATAAGTACAAATGTACTCAGGAGTCAAAGCTAAAAAAAAAAAGCAACAAGTAGGTCCTTATCTGGATGAATAATTAACAAAGTGACTATAAAACCTAGTCTGAGGCAAAATACTGCACTCCTTCAGCAGAAAGAATCCAGTTTTGTTTCCAGGATAAAAGGCCCTTTCATCAGAGAGGGCACTTGTTTGCTTTCTGTGCATCACTTGGGTTTCTGTCCATGTCCTGCTTCCTCTCCCAGCTCCCTCCTTACTCCCAGCCCACTGCTGACAACTCCAGCTCCTCCAGGAGTCTGATAAAGGCCAGAGCTGGCACTTCACTGAGAGCAGCTCCCACAGAGCCTCTGGTCCTGCCCTTCCTAGGAAAACCCAACTGTACTCCTGTCTCCCGTCACACCAGAGCACCTCTGCAACAGTGTCTGAACTTAGAACTTGTTTCCTGAACTGGCAAACAGAGTTTGGGGGGGTGTGAGCTGGGTTTGGGGTGTTTGTTTGGTCTTACAGACTCTGCTGTGAGTGATAACCACAGAGCCTGAGTAGATGTGAATGCCTTGAGAGGCACCAAGGGAAACACCACATGAGTGTGCTGAGAAAGCAGAACTGAGGGTGCTGACTGCAGTGTCTGAGGATGAGAAGTGCACAGAAAGGCCCTGTGTGGGCTCTCTTAGACTAGTGCATAGCTGGGGATAGACAGACACAGCAGCCAAGAGAAAAACACAACCAGCCTTGCACCAAACCTCCCCAAAAGTGGTGTGCCAGTGGAGAGCAGCAAGGTGGGACTGGCAGAGCAGGTGACCCCAAGCCCTAGGTGAGTCACAGCACACACACAGCATCTGCTGCTTCCTAACCCCCAGGGAAACACAGAGCTGTGGGAGCAGAGCAGCCTGGCCGAGCAGGGAGCAGTGGCACAGCTCCAAGGGAAACAGGGAGCACAGGGGATGGAAGGAATAACAGCTACAACAGAGCCACACTGTCAGTGTGTGAGGGACGTCAGAGCCCAACTGTGGCTCAGGCAGGAAAGGAAGCAAAGAAACTCAAGAATAATACCAAGGACAACAAGGAAAGGTTCTGGTGTTCCAGCAGCACAAGGCTGGGAATGTGGGAGCAGATTTCATGTGGGATCTGGGGCGAGTGGGACATGATGCCTTGTGTGCCTCACTCCACTGACACAGCCTAACAGGCTTGGGAAGGAGCTCCTGGAGAAGGAGCAGTGAATGAAGACTGAGCCAGGCACTGACTGATGGAGTGAACTTGCACCTCAGCTCCTCCGGAAACACATGAAAAGCTGAAACCAAAACCCACAGCCTGAAGCAAACCTTTCCTGGTCCAGGCCCAGTCCTCTGCTCAGCCACATCCTCACAGCCCTCGGACACAGCCACCTGTCCCACAGTGCTGTGCTGAGCACAGGGAGTGTCCAGACACTGCTGGAGACACACCTGAGCACAGGAGTGCCAGTGCAGATACTCTAGAGCAAGTTAACCTTAAAAACCACTTTCATTCCACCCCCAAACCTATTCTGAAGCCTCTGAGGAGTTGGGAAAATGGCTGCAACTCTATTTTTGTTTGCCTAAATCACTTCTCGAAGCAACAATTAACCATTCTGAAATGTTTTCACCTGCCTCAGCTCCAGTGTAGCTGCCCAGACCTATCCTGAGTCATGCAAACATGAGAGAGCACCAGAAACCCCTCAGAGGTGTCTGTGCTGGGAAACTTGGACTGCACAGAAAGGAGCTCAAAAGGAAACCACAAAATCCTCCTATCTAGTTTTCCTGATAAGGATTTCCCAATGTAGACTGTGTCCTCACTGCTTCCCCTGGCTCTATACACCTGGGCACAATGTTCTGTTCATGCTCAAACCATCAAGAGTCTCATTAATGGAAGTTTGAAGGCAAAATCACACACAGCTGGTTTGGACCTTCAAACAACTGAGCCAAATACCACAAATTACAACTGAAGTGTCTCTTCTGATGTGAAATCAATGGGATTTGTCTTGAAACAAAGTGACTCGGACACTTCTCTAGGTGAAAATCAAAAGCTACAAAGCTAAGCTGACCCAAGTGAGATGTTCCCCCTGGCTCAGGCAGCTCCACAGTGCTCCAGCTATCCAACCACAACAGTGACATCTTGAAATCCTGAAAACAAAAGGTTCCTTTTTTCAGTAATTAATTTCATTTCATACTTAGCACTTCTATATGTCCTCTTTTCATTTCCAGAGCATTTCCCTACTGAGATTTCCTTTCAGTGGCTCCAGGGCTCTTTTTCCACATGAACTGCAGCAGCCAAGATGCTGTGAAGTGAAAAGGATTTCTAAAGTGAACACAGCAAATACCAGGCCCAAAATTGTGCTGGAATACCACAGGTTTTTTGAGGAGCTCCTGGGGAGGAAAATGCCTTGCTCACTTACTGCAAGATCTCATTTCTTTAAACTCTGAGACAGATTCTGTTCACCTGTGGCTGGAACAGAAATGTGAGTGTTCAAAATGCTGACGGCTGAAAAATCCAGTTCTCTCATCTCCTGAGGAAGGAACAATGACAAACAATGACACTTTCATCTGTGAACATCACAGTGCAAAACCTCAGCAGTCACCACCACAGGGTAAGATGAACCAAACTGTTACTCTGCTGGGAGAGAATGAAAGTGTTGTGAGATGTGGAACAATAACTCCCACTAAAAACAAGCTGAGAATATCACAACACAACCAAAGCTGTTGCTACATGGCTCATTTGCATGGCTTGAGGAGGGAAAAGGAAGGCAAAGGAAGCAGAGGATGCCATGGAATGGCCTGGAGAGCTCTCTTAGCCTTCTTGACTGTTGTGCCATGAGGGACACTGGGCATGAGGATGGGGAAGGGTCTGAGGAGAGGCTGAGGGCACTTGGGCTGTTCAGCTGGAGCAGAGGAGACTGAGGGAGACTCCTCAGGGTCTGCAGCTCCTCCCGAGGGGAGGCAGAGGGGCAGCTCTGAGCTCTGCTCTCTGGGACCAGGGACAGACCTGAGGGAGCATCTGGAGCTGTGTCAGGGGGTTGGGATGGATATTGGGAAAGGTTCTTCCCCCAGAGGTGTTTGGGCACTGAACAGCTCCCCAGGGCAGTGGGCACAGCCCCAAGGCTGACAGAGCTCCAGGAGTGTTTGGCCAATGCTCTCAGGCACAGGGTGCAGTGTTGGGGTGTCCTGGGCAGGAGTTGGACTGATGATCCTCCAAGTCCCTTCCAGCTCAGGAGACTCCAGGATTCTGTGATTTAGAATAACTGTATTCCTGTGCCCTTGCTAGAACTCAGCTCTTGCCTCCTGGGCAGGTTCTGTGGCCAATGAGGTGGAACTGGCAAAGCCAGAAGGGTGTTCACATTCACTATTTGGGCAATTTGCTTGCAAAGCACTTGCACTTCTCATTAAGTTCACCAGTGCCACAAGGCACTCCTGAACACACAGCTACAGAAATCACACACCACCAGACGTGAATAAAGAGCTAGAAAAATCCAGGGGTAACGACGCGTTCCAATCCCACAATTAGGAGCAAAACTGCCTAAGCAATTTCATGGGTATTTTCCATGCAAAAGGAAACAATTCCAGCCCCAAAAGACTTAGATACCTCCCACAAACAACAACACTTCTGAGTTCTAGTTCTAGACTGAGTGCACTGCACTCCTGAAATGAAAGTTGTCCTGCCACGTGAGCTGTAGCTACTCACTCCCTGAGGCACCTGAGAGCATGGCAGCAAAATCCTCCTCCCCTTCTGCTTTCAAGGCTTCCAAGGACACGTTCATTGCTTTTTAGCTTCATCATTTCTGTGTCTTCCAGGGAAGACACCACAAAAAGAAAAATAAAGCAGGCAAAAGGTGAAGCTGCACATCCATTCCTGATCCTACACTCCCCTGGAGAGGGAGTCAGCACAGAGCACAAGTTTGTCCCCACTGTTCTGCAGTCAGGGCTGCAATCTGCTCAGTGCAGCTGACTGGAAACCCCCAGACTTCTCCCCACCCTCAGCCTGACAAGCCAGAGCCACAGGCAGGGAGGATTCCATGGCCTAGATTGGGTCAATGGCTGCTCACAGACCTTACCATCACCACCACAGCCCAGGAGATGCAGCAGGGAAAAGTTACACCTCAGGCTGGACATTGTGTCACACTACACTGGGAAGTGGGAAGGAACCTCCTGATGTTCCCCCAGGGCTCAAAGCCCTGAGGTATGGCCAGTGCTCCCCTGAAGATCCAATAGAAAGAACAGTATCCAATGAATTCTAAAGTTCTCCTAGGAAAATCCTGGATGTCCACAACACATCACCATAAACACAAGCACAGTGAGCAGCACAGCAACAACCCAACACGTGCCCAGTGCACCCACGTACTGACTCCCTCATCCCAAACCAAGCCACACCTGGAAGGGCTGAGGACTGCAACAGCCAACCTGGGGAATGCAGAGCCCAGCACTAACCCTCCAGTATGACTGGGAGGAACTGGGACCATGCTGGGGGTGACTGGGATCAGTAGAGATTTAGACACAGGCACCACGTGAAGCTTCAGCTGAGAGCCATCAGGAAAACCACACACATGGAAATCAGAGGTGCTCTGAAAGAAAATCTAAGAGTTTCATATTCTCAAGCATATGAATGATATGCTTGGGAATCAAGCAAATAAAGCCCTAAAGATGATGCACAAGGAACTCTTATGCTTCCCACCAGCTCCTGCAGCTTCCAGACACTGGATCAGCCCCAGGCCTGTTCTCTTCTGGGTTAGATAATGACCAGAGTGGTTGGATCCTGAATACAGCACGGAGCATGTGCAGCAGAGAATTCCACAGAGCAACCAGCTGCAGGCTGGGAACGACACATGTGCACAGCTACTTCACAGCACGAGTCCTTTTGTTTGTTTGTTTCTCTCCCACTAACTCCAAGATTCCAGGAATTCTCAACAGCATATCCAGAACTTGTAAATCAAGTATTTTAACAGAGCAAGGATTCAAACCTCTCCCCACAGGAGCTCCTGCAGCTCACTAGATATGGCTCAGGGAAGCAGCTGTTCCATTGGGTTTCAAGGAAACATTAAGTTTCACAACTCTGAACAGTTCATTCCCCTCATTTTTTAAAAGCTGCTACTCCCAACCCGAGGTAAGGAACCTACAAGTTAAATTCCTGAGGAGTGATAAGGCTCTAGAGTCATTTCACTCACCACACCTTTATTTTACTGATCCAAATCAGAGCAAAAGGTTGGTTTGGATATTCAGAGCTCTGGCAGAGTCAAAAAGGCTCAGATGGTATGAAGAACAAAGCACCTGGGGACCAAATTCTGACAAGTTTCAGACATACCTATTGATGTTCCAGTTTAAGAGCTGAACATCTGGGAATCCTTAACCATATAGACAATAGTCACTAATTCAGCCTGGAGTATTCTCTCCTGCAAACACCCAATATCCAGTCCTGGAATTCTAGGCACACTCATCAGCAGTTTGATTACACACACCGAGAAACATTTTGTATTTCTCCACTAAATTGCATTCACTAAGTATTTGCTTGAGGAATCTCCCACAAGGTGACAATTCCTGAGGTCCCAGATCTTACCTGCAACTTTGTCCCTAATAAGCTTTGCAGATTCCACTTCTCCAATGCTGCTGAACAGACTCCTTAACTCATCCTGTGTCATGTTCTGAGGGAGGTAGTTCACAATTAGATTTGTCCTACCAATATCATCCCTGCAATCTTCAGCCATGTGATCTTCATAACCATTAGACATTTTATAATAGATCTGCAAGGAGAGAGAAAAAAAATCCCCAGTGAGTTCTGGATCTTCTTGTTTCAGTAAGTCAAACCTCCTCCACCTGACACCAGCTTGAGTGTTTATTTTAAAAACCCAAGAACAAGCAACTGCCTCAGCTGTGAATTTTTTCCACTCACCAAACAAAACATTTTTTGTTGAAAATTCCAGAAGAATTCATTCTTTCAAGCTCCCAAGCTTGGCATTTCACAGAGCTCTGTACCAGCAAAGAGCTCCTCAGGCTTCTGATCGTTACATTAATAAAAGCATAAGGAGATTTTGCAGAGATTCCTATACACACCAAAGTATTCCCAGAGCCAAGGGAAAAATCCCCATGTCCAAGCACTTGACCAGCCACACCCAAACTCCCACCTCAACCAGAATTCCAGCCTTATTCCCAAAGCTAGGACAGGGAGAGGAGCAGCCAGATCCTGCACAGAAACAACTGATGTTAAAATACCTCCAGCCACAGTTTGCCTGAGCACTGAGCACCTTCCCTGAGCAGGCAGCAGTGCTGATCCTGCCCAGGGGTCATCAGCAATTCCAAGTGACAAACCAACACCTCAGCACAGCTCTGGTGCAGCAGGTTTCTGTGACACTGCAGACACAGCTGCTCCCATGCCAAGGGCCTCAGCAGCAGTGGTAGAATCATGGAATGGTTTTGGTGGGAAGGGACCTTAAAGCCCATCTCATCCCACCCCTGCCATGGGCAGGGACACCTCCCGTCAGAGCAGATTGCTCCCAGTCCCATCCAACCTGGCCTGGAACACTCCCAGGGATGGAGCAGCCACAGTTTCCCTGGCCAACCTGTACCAGTGTCTTACCACCCTCACAGGGAGAATTCCTTCCCAATATCCCACCTATCCCTGCCCTCTGGCAGTGGGAAGTCATTCCCTGTGTCCTGGCCCTCCATCCCTTGTCCCAAGTCCCTTTGCAGCTCTCTTGGAGCCCCTTTAGGCACTGGAAGGGACTCTGAGGTCTCCCTGGAGCTTTAGAGAATCTTCTCCAGGCTGGACACCCCCAGCTCTCCCAGCCTGGATCCAGGGCAGAGCTGCTCCAGCCCTCAAAGATCTCTGTGGCCTCCTCTGGACTCACTCCAGCAGCTCTACATCCTCCTGAGTTTGGGGTCTCCAGAGCTGGATGCAGTATTCCAGGTGGGATGGAGACAACATGAACATTTCAGCTCATGCAGGACTTAAGCTGGGAAATTCTTCAAGGAGAAATGAGCTTTGTGGCACCTTCACTGGAGCACTGGGAATAGGCCACAGTGAGCACCGCACAGTCCTCAAACCACAGCACACCTGAGGCTGCTGCCACAGCTCCTGGCCCAACACTTCAGCCTTTCTCTGCAACAAAGTGCAGCCAGCATCACCCAGGAGATGCCACGCAGGAAGGGCAAACGCCTTCTATCCCTCACACAAACTCCTCCCATGTCCCCAGGGCTCTGCACATTGCAGCCCAGACAGCCCACAGGGCAGTGACAGGGCACTGCACGCTCTGCTGCTGCTTGACTCACTCTGCATTCAGGCTATATCCCTTCAAACAGCAGGAGATCTCCATCATGACCCAACACCAAAAGCCAGCTGGGGGCAGGGAGAAATCACAACATCCACAGACTCTCACAGATTCAAGAACGTTTAGACAGTGCATGAGGGGAAACAAGATGAGGCTGCACAGGAAAGGTTATCCCAGTGTGTACACACAGTACAGGTCATGCACTTCAAAGCCTCAACTCAGATCTCAGCAACACGTTTGAGGCTTTCAGCAGCTGATGGCACCGTGCCCCGGTAAAAACAGGGAATAACACTGTAGTTTTCCTTACATACAAAACCAAACCAGACGTGCTGTGCCTGTGTTTGAGAGGTGCCTGATGCTGTTTCCAAAAAAGCAAGTCCATGACCACAGAGGGAGAACCCTCAGGTTGAGTGGCAGCTCTGTGTTTCCTGAGCACAACTCCTACATTCCATGGGAACAACCATCTTCCTGACCTGGGAACATGATGCCTGGGCACACATGGAACTGAGAGGCACAAAGTGAGGTGCCACTGACTCCTACCCCCAAACTACTGTGACCCTATTTCTCCTTTCACTGTGCCCCAGCCATTGATCAGGTTGGGATTCTCTGGCCACAGCACTGCAAATCAGCTAACAGGAAAACTTTAGGTTCAATATTCAACTGGATTCAGCTGGCATTTTAACCCTCCCTCTCTCCCCCTACAAGCATGAAACCAGCTCAGTACCAAAATGATACTGAAGGTCACTTTAAAAATGAAAGGTTTGTCTTTAGCTAACCAAGAAGATTCTTTTACCCTGAAACTGAGTGTTAAAGCCATGTAAGTTGTACATTTATGCTCCTTCCACACTACTGAGTACGTTCTGGCTGTAAACCTGGCAGCCAAGCACAGATTTTTTGCCTTTGCTTGCCAGCCCTTCAGAGTTTTCAGAGGTAACAGATCTCACCTCCCTCTGATTCTTTTCCCCTGCGAACCCTGGAGGAGGACACTGCCCTCCTGCTCCTTAGCTTGACTAGACCTAAGATTGTAACATTTTGGTCAATAAAATGTCTCTGCACCACAAGTGACCATTGCCAAGATCCACTACTACATTCCAACAGACTTTACTTCCATGTGCTGAATCAGTGATTTCAGTACAGGATATTTAATCTCTTTTTTTTTTTTTTTTGCTGTCACTTTACAAACATTGGGCATAAAGTTAGTTTTCAGCATATTTTTAGTCTAACAAATCTCAACTGTCGTAACTTTAATATTTCAAAGTAGTTTCCCATCTTCTTTAACAAGCAGTTTGTCTAAAAAGGTTTGAAATACTTCTCTTAGCTGTGTTTATTCATGTCCACTATCTACAGTGACATCATCAAGGTGTCTGTGTCAATGCTGACATTGCCATGCAGAGACACAAGGATTTGAGGCCAAAAACGAAGCCCAATCCTTCAGAGGAATGACCTCATTTCACCACTCTGCTGAGCCATACTCAATTCCTAGGGAGACAATTAATCATCATTAGGAGGCTGTCAGGAATCAGGTACAGACTGCCCATAGTCACCACTCACTGCTGCTCCAGCACTCAGGGGGGATCAGTGCCCCCAGCAACCTCTCAGCTCCATAGGTACCAACCAGGGCGACTGGAAACCTGCAGCTGAGACACTGAACATGTGCAGCCACATCCCAGATTTCCACATCTTTCCAGGTTAATAGTTAGCTCTGAAAGAGAGAGGCTCCAGGCTCTGCTCAGACCTTCACACCAACACCTTCCACGCAGCACAACACCTGTCCCAGCACAAGAATGATGTGGAGCTGATAGAGCGAGTCCAGAAAAGGCCAAGGAGATGCTCCAAGGGCTGGAGCACCCTATGGAGCCAGGCTGGGAGAGCTGGGGGTGCTCAGCCAGGAGGAGAGAAGCTCCAGGGAGACCTCAGAGCCCTTTCCAGTGCCTCAAGGGGCTCCAAGAGAGCTGCAGAAGGACTTGGGACAAGGGATGGAGAGACAGGACACAAGGAATGGCTTCCCACTGCCAGAGGGCAGGAACAGATGAGATATTGGGAAGGAATATCCCATCACCTGTGAGGGTGGTGAGGGCTGGAATCGATTTCTCAGAGCAGCTGTGGCTGCTCCATCCCTGGGAGTGTTCCAGGCCAGGCTGGATGGGGTTTGGAGCAGCCTGGGCTGGTGGGAGTTGTCCCTGCCCAGGGCAGGGGTGGGATGAGATGAGCTTTAAGGCCCTTCCAACCTAAACCAATCTGGGATCTGTGATTCCACAGTTGTTTGCCCCTGGGTCGACGATGCTGACAGTTAGCATCATGGAGTTCTCACATGGGGAAAACAGTTGGACAGCTCAGTGCAGCCAGGACCATCTCACCTTCTGCACTGGTACTCAAAGAGCACAGGTTTATGAGGAACAGACATTAAAAAATGATGTTATTGTCTTCCTTTCTCCAGACAGTGTCAGACTATCCAGAAATTGCCTCTGGCAATTTTTTCACCTACAAAGAAAAACATCTGGAGACAAAGAACTGTGCTGTGAGGGAACAGCTTCTTCCTGAGGGCCAGAGCTCTTGCAGGAGGTGAGAAGTGGCCAAGAGAACTGCAGATTCCAGACACTTCCTGACAACAGTTGCCCCACACATTGATCCATCCCTGTACCCCATTGATCCATCCTTGGATGAGCAGCTGGTACTTTCACTTTGATAGGATGGGAGGCAAGCAAAGTATCAGGAGAAAGAGACAGCATCCAACTTATCCACCAGCACAAAACAAGGAGCTAGAAATGCATCTCTGAGGGCCTGATGAGACACCACAACCTGCTGCTGTGCTCCCACAAGAAGGCCATGGAAGCAGCAGGAGATAGTAAGTATAAAGGGATAACTTTCCTGTGCCACTGCTACTAATACTAAAACCAAAACAAAACACCAAAGGCATCAGACCCAGACACGAGGAACATCTCTGCCTCCTCAGCACAGCTCATTTCCAGCCTATCCCCTCAAAAAACAGATTAAAATCTATTTTTGCATACATCACCTACATATAACGAGGTTGTATAATCAAATGGATCATTTAGGCCAGCAGCTGGGAGCTCGCAGGTGCCTGATCACAGAGCTGCACATCAAACAGGAGAAGTGCTCTGATCACTTCCAGCGCCAGGGAAACGTATCACCTCTGGTTTGCTGAACTCTGTCACTCTCCCTAAAAGCTTCAGTTGGCAGGACAATGCTGCACTGCCTCCCAGGCTGCTTCTGAAGCACTTGGAAGTGACAGAGAAAATCTTTTGGAAGTCTGCAAATACAGCAAGCTTGATTTTTCTGTGACTCAAAGTCCACCAGCTGCACAGGCAGCTCATCCACGTGTGCTCAGTGTGACAGCAACAACTGGGCTGTCCTCAGCTCAGAGCCCAGAGCTTCAGGAAGGGAAGCAGCCTGGTACAACAACTTATAGAGACAGAGCCTGAAAGTACAATGACTTGTCTCAGGTCAAGACA